ATCCATCCACCTATGAGCAGCTGATATTTGACAAAGGCCCAAAGTCCATTAATTGGGGAAAAGACAGTCTCTTTAACAAATGGTGCTGGCATAACTGGATGTCCATCTGCAAAAAACTGAAACAAGACCCATACCTCACGCCATGCACAAAAACTAACTCAAATGGATCAAAGACCTAAATATAAAATCAAAAATGATAAAGATCATGGAAGAAAAAACAGGGACAATGCTAGGAGCCCTAATACATGGCATAAACAGAGTACGGACCATAAGTAACAATGCACAAACATGAGAAGAGAAACTAGATAACTGGGAGCTCCTAAAAATCAAACACTTCTGCTCATCAAAAGAATTCACCAAAACAGTCAAAAGACAACCTATAGACTGGGAAAAAAATTTTGGTTACGACAAATCCCATCAGTGTCTAATCTCTAAAATCTACAAGATACTGCAAAACCTCAACAACAAAAAGACAAACAACCCAATTAAAAAATGGGCAAAGATATGAACAGGCACTTCACCAAAGAAGACATTCAGGCAGCTAACAGGCACATGAGGAAATGCTCACGATCATTAGTCATTGGAGAAACGCAAATCAAAACTACAATGATATACCATCTCACCCCAACAACGCTAGCATTAATCCAAAAAACACAAAATAATAAATGTTGGAGAGGTTGTTTAGAGACTAAACACTACTTATACACTGTTGGTGGGAATGTAAAATGGTACAACCACTTTAGAAATTGATTTGCTGCTTCCTTTAAAAGCTAGAAATAGAAGTACCATACAATCCAGCAATCCTGCTCCTTGGAATATATCCTAGAGAAATAAGAGCTGTCACACGAATGGATATACGCACACCCATGTTCATTGCAGCACTGTTCACGACAGCAAAAAGATGGAAACAACCTAGGTGCTCATCAATGTTGAATGGATAAACAAATTATGGTATATTCCCACAATGGAATACTATGCAACAATAAAGAGCAATGATGAATCCGTGACACATAACATGGAGGAATCTGGAAGGTATTATGCTGAGTGAATTTAGTTAGTTGCAAAAGGACAAATATTGTATACGACAACTATTATAAGAACTCAAGAAAAGGTTTAAACACAGAAGAAAACATTCTTTGATGGTTATGAGGGTAGGGAGGGAGGGAGGGGGTATTTACTAACTAGAAAGTAGATAAGAATTATCTTAGGTGAAGGGAAGGACAGCACACACTACAGAGGAAGTCAGCACAACTGACTAAACCAAATCTAAGAAGCTTCCTGAATACAACCAAACACTTTGAAGGACAGAGTGGCAGGGGCTGGAGTCTGGGGACCATGGTTTCAGGGGACATCTAGGTTAATTGGATAACAAAGTTTTTAAAGAAAATGTTCTGCATCCAACTTTGGTGAGTGACTTCTGGGATCTTAAAAGCTAGCTAGCGGCCATCTAAGATGCATCAGTTGGTCCTAATCCACCTGGAGTAAAGAAGAATGAAGAACACCATGGACACAAGGAGAATATTGGCCTAAGAGACAGAAAGGGCCACATAAACCAGAGACTTCATCATCCTGAGACCAGAAGAACTAGATGGTGACAAGCAACCACAGTGACCACCATGACAGGTAACACAACAGAGAGTCTCTGACAGAGCAGGAGAAAAGTGGTGTGCAGAACTCAAATTGTAGTAAAAGACCAGACTTAATGGTTTGATTGAGACTGGAGGAACCCCAGAAGACATGGCCCCCAGATTCTCTGTTAGCCCAAAACTAAAACCATTCCCGAGGCCAACTCTTTAGACAAAGATTAGACTGGACTATGGGACATAAAATGATACTTGTGAAGACTGTGCTTCATAGCTCAAGTAGATACAAGAGACTAAATGGGCAGCTCCTGTCCGGAGGTGAGATGAGAAGGCAGAGAGGGTCAGGAGCTGGTTGAATGGACATGACAAATCTGGAGTGGAAAGGAAGAGTTGTGCTGTCACAGTATAGAGAGAGTAAGTAGGGTCACAAAATAATGTACATATAAATTTTTGTATGAGACACTAACTTGACTTGTAAACTTTCACTTAAAGCACAACAATTAAAAAAAAAGTGGTCTCATACAATATTTGTCCTTTCGTGACTGACTAATTTCACTCAGCATAATGCCTTTCAGATTCATTCATGTTGTGAGATGTTTCATGGATTCATCATGGTTCTTTATTGTTGCACAGTATTCCATTGTGTGTATGTACCATAATTGTTTATCCATTCGTCTGTTGATGGGCACATAGGTTGTTTCCATCTTTTTGCTATTGTGAACAGTGCTGCAATGAACATGGGTATTCATATATCCATTCATGTGATGGCTCTTATTTCTGTAACATATATTCCAAGGAGTGGGATTGCTGGATGGTATGGTACTTCTATTTCTAGCTTTTAAAGGAAGCAGCAAATCAATTTCCAAAGTGGTTGGCCATTTTACATTCCCACCAGCAGTGCATAAGTGTTCCAGTCTCTCCACAACCTCTCCAAAATTTATTATTTTGTGTTTTTTGGATTAGTGCTTGCCTTGTTGGGGTGAGATGGTATCTCATTGTAGTTTTGATTTGCATTTCTCTAATGGCTAATGATGGTGAGCATTTCCTCATGTATCTGTTAGCTG